ATGCAATCTAGCTTTAAATGTTTAATAGATTTTCTTGTATTAGGTAAAATATTAAGTGAGAAAAAATTATTTTATATTGTGTTATTTCTACTATAAATATAGCTGAATATCAATGAAATTTCTGAGTTGGAGTGTTATACTCCTCTCCATTTTTTGTTTCTGTTCTTCCTGATTTTCTCTCCATTTCTTTGTTTAAAAAAATCAACAACCAGATGTCTCATTGTCAATGCTAGCCTGCCAGATGAGAGCTTCCTTTCGGCTCAAAACTCCTAAGTCCTAACCAAATTGCACTTTCCTTGGCTGACATTTTGTTTTATCCTGTAAGCACTTTGACTGACGAACAAGCCTCCGAATCTTTGCAATATATGGTGACATATGCTTTATTACAGCTATCAACACTCCCACTTTCCAAATCTTCTTAAGATCCTGTGGTTTCTTGTATGGAGGACTCTGGCCATGGGGTGGCCCTAATTTTACCCACCATTCTTCACTCCCAGTGGGCCACCAAGGTGGAGGAACTCCCTTTTCAAGTGGATACTTCCTTTGAGGGGGATCACAATGCTGCATTAGTGAAGACAAGAGAGATCCAAGTGTTCCGTCTTGCAGGGCTTGAAGAATGCTCTGAGGATTCCTATTTTATTATTATCTGCCTCACTCACAGCTTAACATTCTGCTTCATACTTATCTATGGCAACTGGCCCATTCTTATCAAACTTCACCTTCTCTTTCCACCAAGCTCTTATGAACCACATACTGGCTTACCCTTCTCAGGAATGATCTCGTAGACAAACCCACATGCTTTGCAAACTTCCATTAGCTTCAACATATACTTAAGAATCCCATCTTGGGCTCTAGACATTTTTTTCCTTCGAGCCTGATCAGAGGCCTGCTTGGGCTTTTGCTTTTCTGCAGCTTGTTGAGCAGCAAGCTTCTGTCTTTCCTTGATCCTTTTGAGTTTGATACGATCCTTCCACATTCTCCTCTCCAACTCTTCTGCTTCAATCTCTTCATCACACTGACATCTTTTTCCGCCATATTTTCACAACTTATGTCATCAACTTCAATGTCTGAGCTGCCACACAATAAGTCAGCGACAATCATAAGGTGCCGCAATCATACAGACTACAATGATTTTTTTATTGGTTGATGAAAAAAACTCAAAGAGGTTCAACCTTAAATAGTTAAGGTTATTATGTATGCAAGAAACAGAAATCTGGTATGGTTATACAAAGCGCAGTAAAGAGAATCATTTTGTCATTTTGGCGCCAAACAGGAAAGTATCTATCTAGTGCTAAAAGCTTTAATTTCAGCTATTCTCATGCTATTTTCAGGTAATAACACAAATGATAAGATGATATATCGTCCAATGAAGTTTGCTAAACAACAATTTTACTCCGCCCAAAAGGCTTATCTTCCACTATCTCAAATTCTTAATCGGCCACCGCCAATAACCACCCTACAATTGTCTAGATTGAAGGAAATTAAAACAAACAACCACACACACACACACAAAAATACCTTCTTCCCCGTTTCAACACAGACAAAACCCATCTCCAAAAGTATAAAAAATCTAAATTTATCAAATGGAAAAGAAAAGAAAACCCATTATTCCATTTGTAAATTCAAACTCAATGAACCTCAGAGAGTAGATAGCAAAAGAAATGAAATTTAATACACGATCATGAAAACACAGAGAAGAAGAGCAAACCCAAATCAAGTTTTCACCTGATATCAGCCCCAATCTCCTCCAAATCACCCTCTCCCATTAAACCATTCGAAAGAAGATCTTTGGAGGTGAACCTTGTAACATAAACAACTGTGGTCTTTTGTTTTGACTTCCAATAAATGAAGAATCAATCCAATCAGGAGATGAAAGTTGAAAAACCCAGAATTGGCAATGGGTTAAAAAAGGGTTTCAAGGGCAAAACTACAGGATTTGAGAATCCATTTTTTCTCAGTACAAATGATGAAAATGGCGAAGGATAGAGAACCCCAAATCAATTTTATTAGAGAGAGAAAATCAGAGGCAGACAACAGCCGAAAGGCATCCAGTGTGGAGCAATCCTCTACACACTTGTGTCCACAAACAATGCTTTTCTTTGGCTATTAATTTTGCCTTTTCGATAATTTCGGAAAATTACTAATATCCTTCTAGAAATTTCTAAAAATATAGAACTTTCCTTTTAAAGTAATTCCTCCACACACCGCCGCCCCCTCCCCCCCCTCCCCCTTTCCTCTCTGAGCATGGAAAAAAGTTAGGGAAGGGAGGAGGCTTTGAATTGCAACAAATAGCATAGAAGCGATTGTCTTTATTTATTAATGAAAGTGATGGGCCTACATTAAACTCTAGTTATGAATTTTAGAGTGTGTTTGGTTTGAGAAGAGAAACAAGTTTTTTGAGTAAAGGTTTGTCTAATTTATGGTTAAAAAAACATTAATTATTGTTTTTTATCAATTAATTTGTATAAAAAAATATAAAAATTAATTTTATTTTTAATATTAATTACACATGTATGATTTTTATTAAACAGTTAATACAATTAGATTCAACTTTTATTTTTTTATGATAATTAATAAGAAAAGAGTGTAGTTAATACATTCTTAATTTCTTTTCTTTAGGAGTATAGGATTGAAAAATCTTTTTATTGATTAAATTATAATGTTTTCAAATATTGATATTTGATTAGTAAAACAATTCATTCATTCTCTCTCTCTCTTAAACCAAACATACCCTTACATTATTTTACTAAAATATTTTTCAATAAGGTGATAAGCTAAATCAATGTTTATTGGCTAAATACTTTGATTTTTATCTCTTTTTTTTTTAAATAAATAAACAAATTTCCAAATGAATAAATAAAAAATTTAATCACTTCATGTTGCAAAAGTTTAAATTATACTAGCATTTTTAATACCTAAATTCAAATTTTATAAATAGTGAGTACCAATTCTCTAAAATTTGGTTTATAAATTACAATATTTAATTTTATGACTTTATTTTTCATTTTTTTTCAAATTAGGCAAGTGAGTCACTTACAAAGCATTATTATTTTACAAAAAATCTTATAATTTTAGCGCGCGTTAACAATTAATTCTTTTTACCTGCCATATTTAATCATTCAATCATTTAAACCCAAAAATCAACCCATTTAATGTTACATAATTATTATAAAATTTAGGTATGCAAAAATATGTGTATAAATTAATTTGTTATAATTATTAACTTTTTTGTACATGTTCTCTTGTTGCCATCCATTAGTAGTCATGCATCATGCCTTCCACAAAGCCAATTGTGCATTATTCTTTTGTGGATTTTTTATTGAATTACTTTTCACATTCCTATTTATTGCTAAATTTTATATGGAATTCTTGAATAACATATGAAAATGTCATTTTAGACTAATTACATTTTACTTTTTTTTTATATAATAAATTACTATCAAATGTTTTATTTTATTTGAAATTTTAAAAATTTACCATATTTGACATTCACAAATTACAAATATTGATAAAAATTTCTGACACATAATTTACGTGAAAAAGTAACATGCTCGGCATGTAGGGCAAGTGTCATACAAATCTTATTTTAAACTTAAAAATTAAAATACTATAATGTTTTTTAGTATATGAAATGATAAATTATATAAGAAATAATAATATTTTAATTTTAAATTAATTGAACCACCTCAAAATTAAGTTATATTAATTATACTTTTTTACACAATTCATATATGAAAAAAACTAAAAATTAACTTTAAATTTATGAATTACTAAATTAATTATACCTTTTTATACTCTCAAAATAATTTACATAATACTATATTAAAAATAATATTTAATTTTATAAATTTTTAAAAAAATTTGTTATAAAAAAATACAATTAAAACCTTAAGCCATACATAAGGTTTAGAAAAATCCATACTTTAATATAAAACCGCCCTCTCTACTCCCGGCGAAGGAACGGTCGGTAAGGGAGCCACAGGTGTTTTCTCACCCGTCGGAGGACGACTTTAATGGCGAATCTGCCACAATCACTATCGATGAACGTTCCTTTTGGTGGGCCTGGACCGTCTAATCCTGCCAGCCTCGGAGGTGCAGCAAACAAGGACAGGAAAATGGCGTCGGCTGAGCACTTGGTGCTCGATCTCAGTAACCCCGACCTTAGAGAAAATGCCCTTCTTGAGCTATCCAAGGTGATTTTGCCGATCCCTTCTTGAAGTTTCTCCCTTTTTGAATCTGGGTTTTGGATAAAGTGAGGTAGAAACTGTGGTGGGTTTGGATTCAATTCTTGTGTTATTTGTGTTTTGTTACGTCTGAGAGGAAAGAAATTGGAGAAATACCTTATCGAATTCGAAACTACATATTATACGTGTAATAATAAGTGAAAGATTCGATCAATTGTTAATAAATTTTTTCTTTCATTGTATAATTTCTGGTCTCTTATGATCTGTTAGAGAAGTCTACAACGTTTCATGTAGTAAAGTGTTCCAGTCTTTTATGGGTTTTTTTTTGGTGTATTGTTTTCTTAGATTCAGTGTACACCACATGTCCTAATAGATATAGATTGTTAGCTGGATATGCAAACCTTTGATTGGTATGCATGCGGCTATATCACAGGATCTCAAATTTGAATTTGGTATCTGAGTTCTTGTGGGGATTTAATTAGAATTTCATCTACTTCTTTGAATAAGTGGTCAAGGAAACTTAATGTGCGTGGTGTCTTCCTTTTCTTTTGTTTAAATAGTGGGGTTATTCTTGCCACACATTTCCAAAAAATTCTACCTGACACCTTCCATAATACGTGTGGCTAATTAACCTAGAAAGGTTTAAAGGTCTCACATGTTCAAGAAGTTCTCTTCTAATAAAAAATTGTGTTTTTTAAGACTCTTTTTAGTCAGGTTCTTTTACCAAATCTTGTGCCTTTATCAGTGTTAGCACCTGTTAATGTTGTCTCTTCTAATCCCCTCCAGCATTTGTGTAAATTTTTTCAATGGAACTGTCTTATTAATTGATTGTAGAATTTAATGGCAGACATGAGTCTATTGTGAAAGTGCCTCCTGACCCTCCTTTCAAAGGGAAGAAAAGTGAAATAGAATAATACATAAATTCATTTTATTGTTGAAAATTTGTATGCTAGATACCTGCAAGCATTTATGATCTGTATCATTGTAGGGATATATTGCTACTGGGTGGCTTGGTAATTAGTAAATGATGATACCTTTGACGGGGCTTTTATAATGAATGCTTTTCAAAATTTTCCTTAGAATTTTTTTTTTTTCTAACTTGATATCTTTTTTAGGTTCTAGAAAAAGAAATTGCGAAGATTACAATAGTGCATTAGACATTGACAATAAATACATGCCGCAACTTTATCATGTTATTTTCTTTTTCTGGTTGTGCACTTAACTATTCAACCTTTTTCTGTTCCCGCTATAAACCAATGTCCATCTTTCGTTTCGTTTTAGAACAAGGAATTATTTCAAGATTTGGCTCCTTTCGTGTGGAATTCTTTTGGTACTATTGCTGCACTCTTGCAGGTATGCCTAATAAACTTCTTTTGTTTCTCTTTCTAGAAGAGAGAATTATTTCAAGATTTGGCTCCATTGTTGTGGAATTCTTTTGGTACCATTGCTGCACTTTTGCAGGTATGAATTCCGTGGTTGGCAATATGTTCTCCTTATTCAGTAATTCTCTCTTGTTGTCTAACTTGGTCATTGTTTGATTTTGTGGGGTTTCCTTAAGTGACTTATTGAAGGTGCTACTATTCTTCTACACTTTGACAATGAAACATTTTCTACCATGTTGATATTTTGTATTTTCTAAGCTCATGTATGGTTAAACTTGAATATTAAGGAAAATAATGATGGAGCAAATCCAAATTTAATATTAATGCTTCAGAATGTTGTGTCTGTGGTCTTTGGGTAGAGTTTGCATTGTGATTGGTTTAACTGTACTTGACTTTTATGTATAGGGCACGTCAACATGTTTCTGCTGCCATCTCTTGGTTTTTTCCCCCTCTCTTTTAAAACTGTTTGAGTTTTACAGTCATTGCACTTGCCAGAATATCTGGATCCTCTGCTTGGAGACTCAGTGAATTATGGCTCTCTTTTACTTGCAGGAGATAGTTTCTATATACCCGGTTCTCTCACCACCAAACCTAACTCCTGCCCAGTCAAATCGAGTATGCAATGCACTAGCTCTTCTTCAGGTCAAATGCTTTTCTCATTTTCAAGTTTTCATGTTGAATCAAGCTTTTATATCACTACTGCTTTAGTTTTTAGTCTATATATTCTAGTATGCTATTAGAGTAGCTGCTGTAAATTTTATGTTTCATGTTTGGTGAATCATCTGGTATCAGCTTGTAGACTACTAGAAATTGACTCTGACTCTTCTTTCTTATATGTAATTTTTGTATTCTAATTTGAGGCATATCTAACTCTTCATATGTTGTCTGTTTTTACAGTGTGTAGCTTCTCATCCAGACACAAGGATGTTATTCCTAAATGGTACCATTCTTATTTTATTAGACTTGTATCTTTAGATTTCTTTGTGGACATTATAGCCATAAACTGTTGGTACATTTGACGTCAAAAGTCTTTAACAGTGCACATGTACAGAACTTCTTGATGGAGAGTTCAATGAAAATATCAAATAGATGATGTTTCCCTTAATTATCACTAAAGTGTGTTTTCTACCATTCCTTAACCATGTACTTGTCACAATTGTTTCTTGCTTCTTATTTTTGACTTGAAAATGGTATTGTCAGGATAAATTGTCTTTCTGTTATCACTATAAAGTTATATTTATGTGGGGTTTCAGCTGACCATTCATTATCTGCAGCTCATATACCCTTGTATCTGTATCCCTTCCTTAATACAACAAGCAAATCAAGGCCATTTGAGTATTTGAGGCTTACTAGTTTAGGTGTCATTGGTGCCTTAGTGAAGGTAATCCATCTTTGCTGATGTTCTGATGCCGAATTCATAATTTCTATATCTGTTCATTTAACATTTATGGCATGCTTGTGTATGTGTAAACATGCATTCTGATACTAGTTATGTACATAAACTTTGGTTTTGATTCTAGGTCTTCTTGGTGCTATCTTGATTGTCTCTTATGTGCATATGTGCGTGTCTTTTGAAAAATTTATGATTACCAATTTCCTTTCTATGTCCATGAATTTTTCACAAGATTCTAAAGATTTTACTTTCTATTCCAGGTTGATGATACAGAAGTTATTAGTTTCCTTCTTTCAACAGAAATAATTCCATTGTGCTTGCGGACCATGGAAATGGGCAGTGAATTGTCAAAAACGGTTGAGTTTGCTGATCTTTATCTGTTTTATTTCTAAACTTGCTACAGTTTCATTTATCTTTTGTTTCCATTTATTTTGATTGAAAACTGAAATAACTGATTACTATTGCAGGTATGTAGTTGAATATGGTATTACAATAATGGATATAATTTTGTTTGTGTGGGATTCCTGATACTAAGATGGGGAAAAAGTTAAATTTTTTTAAAAAACTTTTTCATTGTTTCCCTCATTTAACTTTGTTACTTTTTGTTAACATTGTAATTTTGTTTGAACTGTAATATGTTGCATTTATTGTTTCGCTACACATTAGGTACTGAGTACACGGGATTGATTCCCTGACTCCTTGATGTTTGACAAATATTTTTGGGTGACAGGTAGCCACCTTTATAGTTCAGAAGATTCTGTTGGATGATGTGGGCTTGGATTATATTTGTACTACTGCAGAGCGGTTTTTTGCTGTTGGTCGAGTTTTGGGGAATATGGTTGCAGCACTTGCAGAGCAACCGTCATCAAGGCTTCTGAAACATATTATCAGATGCTATCTTCGCTTGTCAGATAATCCTAGGTTGGTTAAATAGATTGCTAGGTTACTTCTCAACTATTGGCTCTAACCTTTAGATTGATATACAGCCAAAAATGAAAAGGAAAAAGAAAAGCCCTTTCCCCTTATTTCTTTTTCACTTTCTTATATTAATACTTATGGTGGATATCTCCTCTTGTCCTTGTTATGCAGGGCCTGTGATGCATTAAGAAGTTGTCTTCCTGACATGTTGCGAGATGCCACCTTCAGTAGTTGCCTTCATGTAAGTAATTTGTATGAAACTTATATATCTGGTTGTGTTATGAATATAATGCTGTTAACGTTATTTGACTTGGAATTTGGAAAGAATTGCATTGTTGTAATTTAGTGATAGAAAAGAAAGCTTGTCTATGGCCTTATGTAGTCTCATAGTCTTGTCTGATTTTTGCAGGAAGATCCAACGACAAGAAGGTGGCTGCAACAGTTGCTTCACAATGTTGCGGTGAGTCGGGTTACCATGCAAGCTGGGGGAGGATTTGACCACATGTTGGTGAACTAAAATCATGTGATTTTCCCCTGTTCACCGCATGCTGTCACTGGTCCAAAATGGTGATTGCAGTCAATAAATTAGCCATTTATCCAACTCGTGGTTGTGTTCATGAGTCCAGTATTTTTTTATTTATCCCAATTCCCATAGAGGCGAGGTTGAAGACAAGTGGTTGTGTTCAAAGCTAGAGGTTTTATAGCTATGATAAAAAAAGAATGATCAGGCTCTTGCAGTTTTGACTTTGTTTGTGAAACCTGCCATTATCTCAACACCATTGAAATATGAATGTATGGGGGGAACAATGCAAAAATAAAACAGTCGTGTTTCCCGTCTCTTTGATGTAATTCCATTTTAAGAAAATATTTGAACAATATATATTTCCTTATTTGAACATGATATCCTTCTCAGGTTAAGATATGAAACATGTTAGTTTTCAAATGGTTAAATTTAATGAGTAATCTATTAATTATGTGATTTATTTCAGTTTAGTTTAGAAATAATATTTTTTTTTTCAAAATGGTTTATAAACTATTAATTTTGTTTCAAAAATGTCTACTTAACAAACATTCCATTAGTCAGTTAACGGAATTTTTTTTAACTATTAATAAGTTGTCCCTAAACTTTTAAAAAATGTTAAAATTAGTATATATATTCTTGTTTTTTGTAATATTTTGTTTTTGAAGTTTAAATTTTATGTCAAATGTAATAATTAATTAAGATAATAATTTTAATTTAAAACAATTAATATTTTAATTTTAATTTTATTATTTCTTTAAAAACTTAATCTCATTATTAAATTACATATTTTTT